TTTTTTCTGTAGCTTCGGAGCCTATCCTGGGACAAGCTCGTATAGACCAGACTGGCCTCTAACTCACAAAGATCCGCCTGCCTCTGCCTCCAGACTGCTGGGATTAAAGGCGTGCACCACCACCGCCCGGCTACAACAGCAATATTTCTAAGTGAACAGGATATTCTATACGTCTTGTGGTCCTTTTGTTTGGTGTCAACATTGTTTTAGGGTTGGGAATGGTTTGTTTGAGAGAAAACCTTCCCAAGGTCACATATAAGCGCTTGATCCCAGATCTAGCTGCTTTACATGAGCCTTATGTAGAACACTCTGTTATATCCAGCATGCTTTGCCCCGAATGGAGAGGCTTTCCACAGGTAATCACCTGTCTCCATCCCTCAGGGCTTTCATCTGTTTCCCAATGATACATGCAAACAGAGGGCCAGTGCGGGCCCCCGGCGGGAAGGTTTCAGCCAGGCCTCCCATCCAGACGTCGATGTTGTCTGTGTGCTTGTACAGCTCCATGATCTTGTTGACCACAGTTTGGTTGGTAATGGCCCTGCTCAGCTCAGCTGGTGTTTTCAGGCGTGACAAGCCACAGAACTCTCTCCATTCGTTGTAGCCTGTACAAGAAAGAGGGGCTAGTTTGTTTTTACAGGGACTTAGAGTTCACTAGTCTACCCAGGGTTGATCCCTGGAAGCTAGAGTTGCAGAGACATAGCCCTGTCTGCCATTCCCTGATGCAGAGTGACCATTGTGTTATTGTGGTATGACTTTCAAACCTATGGGGTTTAACAAAACAGGCCATGCAGCACAGACTTAGGGGTCTTATAAAGAGTGTATTTTGGGGGTGAGTTAGGATAGAAAGGGTGCCAAGTCAAGATACTTTAGTGAGTTCATACTATAATTGGACCAGTCTTCTCCTACTGAACTGTGGTGACAGCCCCACCCTCTTCAGACCTGTTGATGCTCCAGGAGGACACTGAGAGCTTATGGAGAACAAGAGCACACACGCGCGCGCACACACACACATTCACAAGCATAGGCACTCTCTTATACACACAAAGTGAAGAAAAATCAGCAGTGGGAATTTAAAAACTGGTTTGTGAATGCTGCCATCCGAAGGTATTGAGTCAATCCTCAATGATAGCAGCTCCCTCCATTCTGATTTAGGAGAAGCTGGTATCTATTTAATGATGGTGGTGGTGGTGGGGTGTGTGTGTGTGTGTGTGTGTGTGTGTGTGTGTGTGAAAGAGAGAGAGAGAGAGAGAGAGAGAGAGAGAGAGAGTGTATATTTATATTTGATACAGCTAATCACCGTACCACCTTTTTCAGAGTCATAGCTCCTGAACTTCCTGGCCAACGAGTCTGTTCTATCTCAACTCAAGGTCTGTTGTACATGCTGGACCTGGTGAGGGACAACTCTCTGGTCATCCCCCTATTTTTTCTCTCATTCCAGATGGGTCACCTCAGTTATCTTTCTCAGGAGCTATATAGCAAGGTAACAGGCTCCTCCTTTCCTGTCTACCTAGTTTTGATGAATTCCATAGCATTTCTACTTCATCACAGTCTGTTTTAGGGCAGACCTCCCAGATCCCACAATCTTATGACAAGCAAAATAAAATCGGTGGATTTGATTTATCCAGAAACATATATTCCCACTGCTTGCCACAGAGGTTGGAGAATATTTCAGTTACTTCATTAAATATCTTTCAGGATCATTGAAGAATGAAAAGCAATTGAATTACACTCAAAAATTGGGAGAGAGATTTTTCAAGGGCCACATGTAGCAGCTGTATACTTCCACAGCTCAGATAAGCAGGTGCACCTAGAGTTCAGGGTGGTGTACAGAAGGTGTGTGGTCTTCCAATACAAGCAAAGGGTCCCTTTTCTGTATCTTTCCTGTATGGATTTGCTCTTCAAACCCAAGTTACTCTCATCTTTTTGGTGGCTGTGGTGAGGGAAGAATGACACAGGACAGCACCAACTACACCCTACAATCATAGTAATAGCCGCTGAACTTGGGGGCTTTTTCTGCTGCATGTATTTAGGATACTGGCCACTGGTCCTCTGAGTGGGCCACTGGGTTAGACAAAGCATCAGTGTAGCATTTCCTAGGGAACCCAGGGACTCCACAGACTTCTGTGGTAGGGACTCCAACAGGGTCCTGGGTGAGTTCTGTAGTTGGATGCCCTTCTAAGACTGGGATTTGTCCCCAGGCCATACAAGGAAACACACCAGAAGAGGCATCTTGGACACAAATCATAGAAAGGCACACAGACTCTTGTGTGGTTCTCACAGGGTGCAGGGCAGTCGGTTTACAGGTAGATATATAGTTATAGGCCTGGCACATACCTCTTATCCAAGTTACCAGGAAGGCTGAAGCAGAAGGATCATGAGTTTGAATCTAGCCTGAGCAACGTAGTAAAAACTCATATAAAAACACAAAAGCCAGCCAAGCAACTGAACAATAAAACACCAATCTATTCCTCTGAAGCTGGCAGTGCAATAGACTTGTGGGTGTGTTTCACTTTACCCCAGACAATGAACCAGAGAGTCCTTCCCCCAAAACATACTGAGGCATACAGTCTAGAGACCAGACAGACCTGGTAAGCCATGGTCACGGCCCCTCTGCAAGTTAAGCGATGCCAGATCCAAGGTGCCAGCATTAGACAACACGAAGAGCTTCTCAGTCAGCTCCTCATTCATCAGCTGCTCCTGTACCTGCAGCTTGGCTGGTCTTGCCAGGAGGCCTCTCACGATTGGGTCCAAGCCACCTGAAAAAATAATACACAGGTCAGTGAGGTCCCTAGGTCCCTGCTGAGTTTTGGGGACAATGGATAGATTCTCAGTTATAAAGCAGGTTTATTCTTAACCATTGTCTGTGCAGCTTCACCAAATCACCTTTCACAGTTTTGAAAGTGTTCCAGGTTCTTTAGGACACTGTGGTTATTGGCAACTTAGTGCTGAGGATGCACCTTCAACACCTTGGGGCCTAGACACAGGCAGGGCCACATTACTGAGATTCATCATTTATTTTTCAGCAGCAAAATGTTTAGAGAAGTAGTTCTCAACATTCCTAATGCTGCAATCCTTTAATAATACAGTTCCTCAAGTTGTGGTGACCCCCAACCATAATTTATTTTTAACATTACTTCAAAATTGTGATTTTGCTACTGTTATGAATCATAACAGTGGTTTCAGGTGAGACCCCAGGGAAATGGTCTTTTGACCCCCAAAGGCGGCATCAGTTTACAGATTGAGAACTGCTGGTTTAGAGCCCAGAGAAATATTCTCTGGACTCCACTGTGTGGAACAGTAAGATGCGGCCTGGTTCTGGTAAACTGTTTCTCACGGACCTTGCTCTGTTACCAACTGAAGTCTGGGTCACCTCATAGAAGGCCTCAAAGGAAGCAAACCACCAAGCTCCCAGGTCTTGCCTACCCTTAGCTGTCTGAATTCAGAATTACATGCAATAGCATCAACTAAGAGAGGCCAGTTACCTTAGGTGCACACCAAAGGCAAATGTACAATGTATTTTGAATTGGGTAAGGTGACTTGGAAGATCCCAAGCATCTCTCCTCATGTTCTGCATGGTAGCAATTTTATTATCAGTGGTGAGAGAACATACTGTCAGCTGCCATCATCTCTATCCTCCACCATCCCCGAACGTACTCTTGAGACCGTTTAGAAATTATCAGAGGGAGAGAAAGAACATGGGAATAAGAATAGAAAGTAAAACTGTGGAGTAGCATGAAAACAATCCCCCAGAGAACTACAGGGTTTTTTTTCTTTCATTTTTACAAAATGCATGCATCCTGCAGCTCACAGTGCTGGTCTCATCAGAGAACAGGTATAGTTCTTGGTGATGAAGAAATTGACAGCACCCCTCTATAAGGCATGACTACCAGGACACTACTACCTGTCTGTCTGCTGAGAGGGAATGGGGAGGGGGGAGGAGGTAGGGGAGGAGGAGAGGGAGGGAGAGAGGGGAGAAGGAGAGAGAGGGAAAAGGAAAGAGAGAGAAAGAGAGAAGAGATAGCGGGAGAAAAGAGTGTAAGAGAGGTGAGAGAGGAAGAAAAGAGGGAGAAGGAGAAGAAGAGTCTGAAAGAGGTGAGAGAGAAAGGGAGAGAGCGCGCACTCTATATCTAGATCATTTATTCTGAGTACTGAAGAGCTCCAGATGTGAGTCAAGGCATTTCTCAGGAAACTTCACCTTCTAAAAACCTTTGAGCACTGCCCTGGGGAATGGTTCAATCAGTAAAGTACAATGCAAAGCAGGCCCAAAAATCTGAATTTGCTCCTCAGAACCCAGGGCAATAATTGTAGGGTGTAATGGTGAGAGCTTGTAATTCTGATCTTGTGGAGGCAGAGTCAGCGATTCTTGTGGCTTGCTGTTCGGTCAGTCTAGATTAATTGGTGAACTTCCGGTCAATGAGAGACCTTTCTCAAAGGAAGTAGATTGCTTTTCTAAGGATGACACGGGAGACTGTCCTCCAGCCTGTATTTGCACACACATGCCCCAGAGCACAAAAAAACATGCCACATAGGTACATATGTGAAAAAGGCTTTGAATATATTTATGCCCTCTAAATAACACTGAAAAAGTAGATAGCATTAGCTTAACCAGCCAGCATAGAAGGTAAAGTCTCATGCAGGGCCACCCTGGGTGTGCTTAGCTATAGGCTCATGTCAGGAGTACGGGCATACCTTCCTGGATCAGCCTCCAGGGCCTGAAGAAGACATCATGCAGCTGCAGCCTGGGGAGGTCTGTGTGGTCCTGGAAGTCAGTATCTAGCCGTCTCACCAGTGGATGGACTGCGGCGTGGCCAAAGCGGAAAGCAGCAGTAGAGAAGACATTGGAAACGGTAGGGTTCACAGTGGGGTCGTAGCCTTCATAGGGGCCCACGTACTGCCTGAAGGCATCGGGACCCAGGATCTTGGGGATATAATCCCTCATGGTGATGATCTATAGAGAAGGAGACAGGTGTTCTCTGAGCAGGGAAGGTTTTCAGCAAAGCTCAAGGATGCCTGCAGGCCAATTGGAGATCAAAGATAAAGCAATAGGGAGAAAGTCTGCCTGGGCATTCTTGTGATAGAACATCATAGGATTGGTGAGCTTCCAAGAGAAGGACACAGTCCACAGATGCAGGCAGAGGTGTGGGGGGACATGCCCATCAGGTAAGGCACAACCCATAGGAACATTAAAATAAATACAAGTAGCAAAGAATACAGAAATCTGAGAGCATCTTTCCTGTTCATTGAGACAGTTATCACTTTCCTATCAAAAATAGGCCGCTGGATGATTAATGTTCAGGTCAGCAGAGATCCTCAGATATGCAGAACCACACCCTCTATTTTACAATTATTGGGCTTGTGTCAGGGCATCCCAGAGGAGCCTCACCACCAATATTGCAGAGATTTACTCAGAAGAAACATGCAACCATGGCCCTCACTCATCACATTACTTTTGTATCACGTGAATGGTCACTTGTGGTTCCCTGTGCCTTCCTTGGGTGACTGGCCAACTCTCACTTAGTCTAGACTCTGGAAGAAGCAGTAGGGAAAGAGACTCCTCCTGGGATTATTCCTGGGACTTTAACCTCTGTAGAAACTCCGTACATATTCACAAGATACCTACACTTGCCAGGACATTCTAGCTGCTTGGAAAGAAGAACGAAAAGTACTAGGCCTACACCCCTCTCCCTATGGAGCTGACAAACTGATATCCACCATTGGCCAGGCCTGGAAGTCAGCCAGGGACAGAATCATCATAGATTCTTCTCCTAGGACAAGGAGAATGCAGCCAGCTCTGGGAGTGGGAGCTCTTACTGCCATTTAATGCCCCCCCACCAGTACAAATAAATCCTAACTTTGGGCCACCTCCTTGAAAACAGCAGGACTTTGGGGCTCCTGGTCTTGTCCTAAAACTATCCAAAATCGCTTTGGCTCTGCCCTCACAGGTACTGATGTGAGGTTCTTTGTGGGAGCACACAGCGATTAACAGCAAACCGTCTGTTTACACACGCCCATCAGGCAAGGTTAGAGCTACTCGGTGAAGTACTTTCACTCAGTGTTAATTATAAGCTCCAGTTTCAAAGTTTTGTATATCCTATTTCTACTTTTTTTTCATTTGCAAATAGGATTTATTATTCAAATGGTGCAATTTTGTTCTGTCTTTAGTTGACAACATGTTTATCCTCTGAAAACACAATAGCTCACTAATGTAATGCATCAGCTAATCTTATCTGAGCATTAGGGAGATGGCTCAGTGGGGCTTGTTTGTGGAGGGCAAGGCTGGTGACCTTCATCACCATATAAAGATGGCCAAAAGTATACCCTATGAATTTGTCTTCTAGTTTTCATATATCTGCCATGAGCTAAAAATAGATATCAATACAGAAAAATTAAAAAAATAAATTACATCATCAATACATTTTATTTGTCATCTCTAGATAATTCTCCGAGAAGGCAATGGCTCTTCAAGAAGAAATACCAACTATAAGTAATGGAGACAAGAAGCAGCATGGAATGTCAAAAGTATATACATATTTCCATAGCACATTGTCTTAGAGTTTCTATTGGAGTGGAGAGACACCATGACCATGGCAAATCATATAAAGGAAAACATTTAATGGCGTGGCTCACTTACAGTTCAGTTTAGTCCTTCATAATCATGGAAGAAAGGGAGGCACCATGCAGGCAGATACGGCGCTGGAGCTGAGAGTCCTTACATCATGATCCAAAGGCAGCAGGATGCTGTCTGTCTCTGGGCATGACTTGAGCATATGTGAGAACTCGAAGCTCACTTATACATTGACAAACTTCCTCAAACAAGACCACACCTACTCTGACAAGGCCACGCCTACTAATAGTACCACTCCCTTTGAGGGCCTTTTTCTTTAAAACCACCACACACATCAAGGTTTGTTATGAGATACACAGTTGATGGCTGATTTTCCTACTTTATTACATCTCTTCCATTTAGATGGAAATGCTGCTTTGGATACTCACACGAGGTGCTTAATGTTTCTTATAGTCTCTTCTATCAAGTATTTTAACATTAGCATCATTAAAACATGTTCACAAAGTGAGACATGCCGGGGGTACTCGTCTTCCCAAGTACTTGTACTCAGGAGGCCGACACATGAGAATTATGAGTTCAAATGGAGTCTTGATTAATCACTGACAAACAAGCCAGGCTGGATAACAACATTTCAAGGGGATTTGTGAATACATGAACATAAAACCAGTAGACAACTGACTACCCCTCTCTCACAGACACCTTGACTTGAAAAGTATGATCACACATTGGCCCATATTTAATTAAACAATGGACCACTTAGATGATGGGCATCCAATTCTATAGATAGCAGCAAAAAATATATATGCCAGTAAGTAAAAGTACAATCAAATATACACTAAAGTCACTGAAGGACTATAAGGAACACAAAATGAACTTGGTTAAGTAGATTTGCCACGCGACACACTTTAATATATAACTCATATGTTGCAAAATGGAAGCTGCAATGCTGTGATCTCACCATTGGTGCTTAGTGAACTTGGTATTAATTTACTTACTTCAAGAACGTGATGAAAAAAGAGATGAAACAAGCTTTTTGTCTCCTTGAAACTGAAGATAACTGTCATGTCCAAAGTCTTTATTGAATTGTTTACATAAACAGGACTTTTTCTTTCTATGAGTTCTCATCTCTTTCCTGATGTCAAGTTTATATATTAATGCTTTAAAATGTTTACAGGGATAGACACATGGCCAAGCAGTTAAGACAAGCTCATTCCTAAAACCAAGGTCAGGATTTTGACAACTTGTAACACTTGCTACAAGATCACATGGTCTAACCTTCTTGGGAACCAGCATACATACATGTATTCAGAGACTAGAGAAATGCAGACTTCACCACATACATTTCGTTCCTAGGGTTTCTCTCCAGTATGAATTCTTTCATGACTTTGAGGATGAAGATGACTGGGCTATACAAAGTCTTTCCCACGTTCATTGCATTTTTAGGGTTTCTCCAGTATGTATTCTTGTATGTATTCGAAGATGTCTATGACATGAAAAGTACCACACTGACTACATTCATAGATTTCTCTCCAGTATGTGTTCCTCTATGTATTTGTAGAGTACACTGTGTAGAGAAGGTTTTATCACATTCATTACATTTGTAGGGTTTCTCTCCAGTGTGTGTATTTTATGCCTTTGGAGACCACATGAAGGATTTAACACATTGCTTACGTTTACAGGTTTCTCCCTAGTATGACTTATTTCATGACTTGGAAGATGACTGTGGCATGCAAAGGCTTTACCATATTGAATATATTCACAGGGTTTCTTTCCGGTATGACATCTCACACATTCATGAAGATAAATTGGCTCATGTGAAAGATCTATCACATTCATTACACTGATGAATCTTTTCACTGGGATGAATTATTTTTTGACTTTGTCTGATTGTAAAGCGGCATCAGACCTCAAGGTTTGATGGCTTTCTTTATATCCATATTCTTCTTTGTTGTGGGTTCCTTTTTGTCTTTGAAGATACCTGTGATGGGAAGAGCCTTTATTCCATGACTCACATGTGCAGTACCTTCTTTTCATGTGAGTTTTTCACATGCTTGAAGAGAACTGGAAAAACTCAGAGTTTTACCACTGCTTTCAGTCATGAATTATTTTTCTAGACTGTGAGTCATACTACATTTGCTTGCTGAGTCAGGACAAACAGAAGAATTTCCACATTCCTCGGGCTCAAAAGACTCTTCATCCGTGAGTTTTTGATGTATTCTCAATGAAGTTGGAAAACCAATTAACTGCAAGGTTGTATCATATTAATCAAGTCTACTTAAAGTGGGGGATGCGATATATCTTCTCATTTTTCAAGGAAAGAGAAGTACACTGCTTCTTTACACACTCCTGTTCTCACAAGACCTCTATCCATTGTGACATCTGGAATACCTTCCACATCTTCTATAACTTTTACAGTGTTCTTCCATATGCTCTTCCCAGGTGTAGCCTATAGCAGTGAGGTTCCTGAAGGTTTCCAGCATCACATCTTTGCAGAGATTCTTCTGAAAAGGATCCACCAAAGCCCACTCTTTCCAAGGGAAGTCGATACAAACATCATCATAGGTCACTGCATTCACAGTGCGGCTGCCACACTTGCCCAAACTCCCCAGACAGCAGAGCCCACAGTGCAACTCATGGACCAACTTCTCTCATGTCCACTCTCTTATCTAACCCAGTTTAACATAGGCACAGACCTATGACTAGAAATAGACACATAAAACACAATCCACTACAGAAACATACACACAGAACAGGTGCACAACACAGTTCAAACTCAGAGACAAACACTCAGACATACAACACACAAAATACTGAGCCCAGATACAGTATACACAGTGCACATGATTTCCTAACCAGAGCTGATAGACACCCAATGTGTACCTCTGTGTACACACAGGTTCTGGGATATTTGGACATTTCTATGGGGCTGGTAAAGATTTTTAGCCCCTGATGTTCCCTGTCTTCATGTCCTCCTTACTCCCAGCAACCCATTGGCTAATGCCTGGTCTTTAGGTGCCTGAGGCCATGGTAGGGCAGGCACTCCTGGGCTGCCCCTTACAACTATGCACAGGAGAACAAACTTCCTTCCTTATTTGTTAGATGAGACTGAGGTCATCTTCCTGTCTGATTTAGGGTTTCTGTTTCTGTGGTGAAACACCATGACCAAAAAGGAAGCTGGGGATGAAATAATTTATTAGGCTTACATTTCAGCATTGCTGTTCATCACTGAAGAAGTCCGGACAGGGAAGGATCCTGGAGCAAAAGTTAGCACAGAGGCCTTGGAAGGGTGTTGCTTAGTGGCTCACTTCCTATGGTTTGCTCAGCGTACCTTTTTATAGAACCCAGTGCTAGCAGCTCAGGCACCTTCCAATATGGGCTGTGCCCTCCCCCATTGATCACTAAAGGAGAAAATATCCTACAACTGTGATATGGGAGGTGATGTATGCTGTGAATAGGTTTTATTGCCATTGGTTAATAAAGAAGCTGCTTTTGGCCAATGGCTTAACAGAATATAGCCAGGCTGGAAGATATATAGATAGATAGATAGGGAGGGAGGGAGGGAGGGAGGGAGGGAGGGAGGGAGGGAGGGAGGTGGAGTCAGGGAGATGTCATTTGTCCTGCTGAAGGTAGACACAGGGAACAAACTTTACCCGGTAAGACGCAGCCATGTGGTGATACACAGATTAACGGAGATGGGTTAGCTTAGGATATAAGTTAGCCAGAAATACGCTTAAGCTTTTGGTCAAACAGTATTGCAATTAATATAATTTCTGTTGATTCAGCTCTGGGCATCTGGGAACAAACAAGCAGCCTCCCCCAACACAGTTGGATCTCAAGGAGGCATTTCCTCAGCTGAGGCTCCTTCCTCCCGTGATTTTAACTTGTGTCAAGTTGACACACAAACCACCTAGTATACTTCCCCATGGTGTTTCTATGACAACACAGGGGCTATGCCAAGTGCCCAACACAGAGCTTGTTCTAACCTGACAATGAAGGAAGGTTAATATAGAGCAGTGGTTCTCAACATGCCCGATGCTGTGACCCTTTAATACAATTCCTCATGTTGTGGGGACCCCAGCCACTAAAATTATTTCATTGCTGCTTTATAGCTGTAATTTTGTTATGAATAATAATATTAATAGCTGATAAACAGCCCCTGAGACCCACAGGTTGAGAACCACTGGAATAGAGTAAAATAACTCATCTCTCCATAACAACCCAGTGAGACTGTGGAGTAAATGCTGTGTCTGTCTGCCTGCCTGCCTGCCTGCCTGCCTGCCTGCCTTCCTTCACTTCCCTCCCCTCCCCTGCCTTCCTTCCTTTCTTGTATGGTTTTCTATGTCACAAATGACATAGAAATGACTCACAGGAATCTTTATTTAAGATCCTCTGGTTTTTTAAAAAGAATCCTAAAATAGAGTTTCTAAAACTGGCTCTTAACCTAGACAACAAAGGGTGCCCTCAGAGAGACACACAGGGATCTACATAGGGAGGAGAAAGAGACACACAGGGATCTACATAGGGAGGAGAAAGAGACACACAGGGATCTCCATAGGAAGGAGAAAGAGACACACAGGGATCTACATAGGAAGGAGAAAGAGACACACAGGGATCTACATAGGGAGGAGAAAGAGACACACAGGGATCTACATAGGAAGGAGAAAGATACACACAGGGATCTACATAGGAAGGAGAAAAAGACGTACAGGGATCTACATAGGAAGAAGAAAGAGACACACCGGGATCTACATAGGGAGGAGAAAGAGACACACAGGGATCTACATAGGAAGGAGAAAAAGACGTACAGGGATCTACATAGGAAGGAGAAAGAGACACACAGTGATCTACATAGGGAGGAGAAAGAGACACACAGGGATCTACATAGGAAGGAGAAAGAGACACACAGGGATCTACATAGGGAGGAGAAAGAGACACAGGGATCTACATAGGAAGGAGAAAGAGATACACAGGGATCTACATAGGAAGGAGAAAGAGACACACAGGGATCTACATAGGAAGGAGAAAGAGACGTACAGGGATCTACATAGGAAGGAGAAAGAGACACACAGGGATCTACATAGGAAGGAGAAAGAGACGTACAGGGATCTCCATAGGAAGGAGAAAGAGACACACAGGGATCTACATAGGAAGGAGAAAGAGACACACAGGGATCTCCATAGGAAGGAGAAAGAGACACACAGGGATCTACATAGGAAGGAGAAAGAGACAAGAGCTCCTGAGTAAACTGGGAGTATGGGGGTCACTGGAGAGGGTAGAAGGGGAGAGGGGAGGAAGGCAGGGGAGTGGAGAAAAACATACAGCTCAATAAAAACAATCAAATAAAAAAAAGAAAGCAGACAATGAGGAGATCAAGGCAAGCCTGGGCTATATAGACTCAGTTTTTTTTTTTGAGAAATCTAATACTTTTTATTCAGAAAGTTAAGTTGAAGGAGTTATGACTTCAGATTTGAATTTCTATAGTAAAAAAAAAACCTATTTTAAGAAGGAGGTGAAATGTTATGCTCACAAAGAAATCCAAACAAATAAAACCAAATCAAAGAGCCACATTATTTTCAGTGACATATGGAACTATTTACAAATATTGTAATTAATGGGCCACAAAGGAAGTCCCAACCAGATTTATACTTTGCAGATTATATATTTAGCCACCATAAAATTAAACCTTCTACCTTATAGACTCAGTTTTAAAAAACCCACCTTCTAATGTAGCTATGCATTCAATTATTCCCATAATCCATTTTGAGAAAACGCTTGAGATGCCATTGATTGCAAAGTGTGTCAGTATTTCACATATAAGTAAATAGGGAGTATAAATGTTAACTAGAAAAATCTTAAAACAAGTCTGAGCATGGATGGATAGATGGGTGTCGTCCCTGACAACCTGGTTCTTTTACTGCAGTCTTGGGTGTCTGGGCAACTCTGCTCCGCAGTAGCTGGGAACCTTGGGAAAAACGCTTCTTAGAAACTGCATGTCTCGGACATGAAGCATAGCGACTTTTTACTCTGTTATTGACAGAATTAAACACGACCTTGTCCTAGTATTAAGCAAGTGCCCAGTGCTTGCTTAGCTATGTTGCTGATGCTGTTGCTACAATTCTGGCAAGCGTGGAAATCAAGATGTTAAGGATTCTTAAATGCCTTTCCTTAATCTGAATGAGTTCGCCTAGTCTCAGTTGCCAAACCTTAAGACGTTATTTGAGGTAAGCAGTCATGGCTCTGCTTGCCCGGTGCCTGAGCTCTCTACAAACAAAAAGACATCATCTTCTAAGATGGAGCCACAGCAAACCTCCTAAACTGAAGAACAACCCGACCCCAAGGAGCTGATAACTCAGTCACAGTGGGTAACAGTCTGCATAATGCTTTGTATGACATTTCCATGCTCCTGGCTCATTTTTGCTTAAAGGGAGAAACCCACCCACCATCTGCTTCCCTGCTTAAGATCCCAAGGTGTTGAGCTGACAACCTTTGCCTGGGAGAAGTAACGCAACTCAGTATCCTGTTGTCGCTGCGTGTTTCCAGACAGCTGGTGAGCTCGGCTAACAAGAGAAGGGAAGATGGTCTCCTCTGTGGACCAGACCTCCGGGAATGAGTCACCTGCCACTGCCCATAGAGGACGGCTATGGAGTCAAACTCCAGTAAACCACAGACAGGACCAGCAGCGTTTCCTGAAGACAGCCCTGGAGCATACACAGGGCCAGAGGGTAAATCAGACCACACACAGATAAGGAGCCCAGAAATCAGTTCTTGGCCATGGGCAGCTCCTCAGTCACACCAAAGCTTTCTTATCCTTACTCTAAGTAATTACAGGGTAGCAAATGCACAACGAAGATTTATTTTCACCCTAAAAACTGTCAAGATTTAAAGAATAAGCACATGATAGTTATTATCTAACAATGAAAAAATTAGCATGTAGTTAATCAGGGCTGTGTTGCCAGAACTTTCTGTCAGCTCTAATCATTTTTATTTTTTTTTAACCTGAGTTTTTGGATTTATGACTGCTTGTTGACTAATAATAACTTACAGTTTCATAGATATGATTATGCAGTAGTTCTTTCTAAAGAAGAACCATGTTCTTAAACTGAAAAGCTCCCAATACATCATTTGTATATAAAGTAGGCAAGGATGGTCTAAGAGGACATCAGTATCTATCATTCATGAAAGAGCTACAAGTAACATCTTAAGGGCGCCATAAATGATCATTTGGCTAGCTTAATAAAATACCAGTTTCTAATAGAAATAAAGAAAAACTGACTCTTAATTTAACTTGACAGAATTAGGATCTCCATTATTACCAACACACAAATATGCCAGAATCCAGCTCTGTGCCCACTTCATAGGGCTGCTCCAAGGAGTATGCAAGCTGCCTCTATGAGGCTCCGAGAGTTATGGTTGCCAGGTAGCAGCCAGTGAACGGACCTGTTGCTGCTAGACACAGTTGTGGCTGCAGAAGGTCTGTGGCTCTGTGGTTACTCTGGGTGATCCAGTGCTGGGAGGACGGAGCCAAGAGGAGGCCCCTGGTACCAGGAGTATTTTGCTCACAAACACTTGTGCCTTAAATGTCCCCACTTGACTATCCCAAGGTGATTCTGCCAGAAACTCAGAGAGACCATGCTAGTCCTACTGGAAGCCACTGGTAAGCCAGCAGTGACCCTGCTCAACACCCTTAGGGCTCTCACAGTGGCCTCACAGACACGCCTTAGGGGTATGCACTAGTTCCTGTCTGTACTGCCTCCTACCCCCATGCCATGCACGGTACGCACCTGGTGCAGCGCGCCCACCACCTTGCGAGCCTCCTGATAGGAGGTCTCAGCACTCCAGTGTGCGTTGATGGCCTTGAATGTAGCAGCCAAGCGGTTGTGCTCACGCAGCCACAGGGTATGCACTGCTGCCAGGGCAGGGACCTCGCTTGCGCGGCCGTCGCCAGCCAGGAAGCAGGGAGTACGGGTGGTACGTGGGGCACCGGGCTCTGAGGCACAGGCAACAGATGCGAAGGGCAGGTAGGTGCGGCCTGAGTCTAGGTGGCGTGTGTTGACACGCAACAGGCCCGCGGAGCTGCTCCAGTTGCGCAGCTGCTTCTCGGTGCCAGGGGAGCTGCCGTATACAGTGGATGCATCGAGAAAGGAGGTCAAACCATTCATCTGCTGCCTGGGATTGGCCGCAGACAAGTTGCCGAAGAGAGCTCCCTGGTCCCCAGTGCCGCAGGCTGCTGAGGAACGGTAGAAAGGCAAGCATGCCGTGGTCCCCGAGGAGTTTGAGAGAAGCTGTAGCAAAAGGGAGACTAGATATCACCTCGGAATCTTGGGCCCTTTTATAATCTTAAATCATAAAATAAATGTGTGTTGATTATGATATGGAGTGCGGGGTAATAATTATTGCTGATTCAGAGTATGCACGCTGCATGCCTGGGAATTGTAGGGTAGTTTTCACATACAAAATAATGTTTTACACAGGAGTGCATTGAATATCCAAGGAAGCTTCTGGGGACAGGACAAGAGAAGGAGACTTTGTATTTCATTTCAAGTTTTTTTGTTTTTTTTTGTGTGTGTGTGTGTGTAATTTTTAGAAAGACACATTGTTTCATAATCAAGGAAGAGTGTAGGGGAATTACCTGTATGGGGAAGCAGGGATTTTGGTTCTCACAGGTCAG